GAACGAGCAGCTGGAGTGGAATCATGTATTGAAACATGCTTTTTCTCTTGACCACGACGGCGACGATCAAACTTTCATGACGATGACTTGTGAAGGGAAGCATTTGTGCGCCGAGTGCGCCCATTACAAGGTAGGGCATATAATAATTCCGCCAGCGATCAAAAATTCATGTGCGATTTTGTGTCTCCCCGAGGCATACGGCAATACTTTCCGTTGTGATTTCAACATTGCAAAGTGCCGTGGGTCAAAAGTGGGACGTGAAAATATTTAATTTCCGCTTTTTTTGGTCATTGTGTGGGCGGTTGTTACAAACTAATATAAAACGGGGCCGGTGCACCGCGTGAGCGGTTAAATCTGAGGGCCTCGTCGCGGTGGGCGGCATGACAGTGACGAACTGTGCCTACATTATCTCGGCGCGGCCTAATTTGACCGGCCATTTATACCGATTATTACCTAACTCAAACCAAAACGGACCATTTGTTGGTTTGACCGGCGCGAACGTTTGTACGGGCGAATGCGTGGAATAATATCCCTGACCCTGTTTGCCGACTGGCCTGCGGTGCAAAGAAGCGAAAACAGAAAACATTGCCGGTTTTTGTAGGTGCCGCCCCAGGAATATCAATTATTTAGATGGACTTTTCCAGACGGGAACTTATCAACGTCATTTTGCAACAAGAATGCTTCGAAAGGTACGTTCACTAGTACTTTTATATCGTAATTATTCCCACCAAATTTTTTCACAACTTTGTGCCCAGAACACCTTGTATTTCCTAACCTAATATACTTTCTCCAAGTTTCTTGGCGCCATACTATAGTCCAAGAGACCCTTTTTACGATGTGTTTTATTTCAATCCCTTCAACCTTTTAGAAGTTGGCAATTTTATGAAAATTTATAAACATGGTGTGGAAAACACCCTGTATCTCCTATTAATCCTTTATTTAATCCTTTATTTAATCTATTTAATCCTCTAAACCTTTTAGAAATACACTAAAATGTCCTTCAAAAGTTGGCAATTTTATGAAAATTTAAAAACAAGGTGTTGAACACAACCTGTGTCTTCTAAACTAATACCCTTTTCCAAGTTTTTTGACGCCATTTTATAGTTCAAGAGACGCTCTTTACAATGTACTTTATTTCAATCCTCTAGACCTATTAGAAGTGCCCTAAAATGCCCTTCAAAAGTTGGCAATTTTATGAAAAATCAAAAACATGGTGTGGAAAACACCCTGTATCTCCTAAACGAATATACTTTCTCCAGGTTTTTTGACGCCATTTTATAGTTCAAGAGACGCTCTTTACGATGTACTTTATTTCAATCTCCTAACCCTTCTGGAAATGCCCTAAAATGCCCTTTGAAAGTTGGCAATTTTATGAAAATTTATAAACATGGTGTGGAAAACACCCTGTATCTCCTAAACTAATATACTTTCTCCAGGTTTTTTGACGCCATTTTATAGTTCAAGAGACGCTCTTTACGATGTACTTTATTTCAATCCTCTAGACCTATTAGAAGTGCCCTAAAATGCCCTTCAAAAGTTGGCAATTTTATGAAAATTCAAAAACATGGTGTGGAAAACACCCTGTATCTCCTAAACTAATATACTTTTTCCAGGTTTTTTGACGCCATTTTATAGTTCAAGAAACGCTCTTTACGATGTACTTTATTTCAATCTTCTAAACCTTCTAGAAGTGCCCTAAAATGCCCTTCAAAAGTAGGCAATTTTTTCATTAAAATCTGAAAATTTCCGTCGCAATTTTTAAAATTGGATAAAAAATTTACCGAAAAATTCGGCCCTGTTCTTCAACTAAAAATATTTTAACGCAAAAAGTTTGACCCTGCTCTTCAAGCAAAAATTATTTGAATACATTATTTCAACTCTGAGTTTTGGTTGAAAAAATTTTATTAAAAAAAAGTTCGGCCCTGTATTTCAGCAAAAAATATTGTTAAAATAATATTTGCATTTCCAATTTAGTTGAATTTAATCTACTTTCAAAATCAGAAAACAAAAGTTAAAAATTCCATTTATTTCAAAACCTGCATTTGGTGAAATAAAAAATTTCGTCACAAAAAAAAACAAAAGATTTTTTTGTTCGAAATTAAAATTTGAAATTTTGTATTTTTAATTATGGATTTTAACAAACAACTAAATTTAAGTAATTAATCTTATTAATTTTTTTCTTAGCAAGCTTGGTTTAGATCTTATTGCTTTGTAAAGATCACATATAGGCAAAATACATTTAAACAATTATTGTCGTATAATTTTTAAATTATTGTCTAAAATAAAATTAGGTATTAAAATAATTGCAACATAATATTGTCCTCTTTGATAATTAGTGATAAAAGAGGACATTATTTAAATTTTTTGAAAAAAGTTATTAATTATGAAAAAAATGGCGGAGGCGCCTGACATTTTAAAGAGTAGTTTAATTAATTATTGAAAACAAACTTCCCCTTTGTGTAGAGGGGTTCTGAATTATCAATTCAAACAACTTTTCACTTAATAGCAGTAAGGGTTTTTTCTGTATATGTTATTAAGTGAAATGTGCACTCGCATAGAGACCTAAGAATCAATTATCTCGGGAACTAAAAGAGATAAACGAAAACCGAAAACACTATTATGCTCAGTATGACATCCTAGATAAGACAACATTTAAAAATTTTAAAATATAACATGTGCCTACAACATTTTCCGACACGATTTTCTCCGAAAGTAATAAAGTGAGAAAAAAACTTTCTTCATTTTGTTCATGCCGTGATAAAGATCTTAAAAATGGCAGATTTAGTTTTTCCATTTTCCAAAGTTGACCAAAGACCACTCAAAAACATCAAGAGGTTACACTTGACTCTTTTTGGAGTCAAAAAATTTTTTTAAAGCTAGAAGAAAATGGAAAACGCTAATCGATTGAGTTTTCCAAGGGGATGAAAGATATCAAGTCAGTTTTCCGATAACATCATTATTTCGGAAAATTAGTGGTAAATTAAAAACTGATCAAATAAAACCACCTCTCCAATTTTCCCCAAACTTTCCAAACTGATGAAAAACAATGCTAGGAATCCACTAATCCAGGTTTGGTTGCGCTATCTTAATTAGTTTTCAAGTTATTAACCATTTTTAATTATTACATAATTGTTGATAACTGTAAATTTTAACATGTTATATAATGTAAAATTTAATTCTACATACGAATATGAAAACCGTTTTTCTTTATTTCTAATGGTTTTCAAGATAAGTACGAAAAACTGGTTTATTCGTTTTCTCCATAATTTCCTGGGTAAAAAATAAATATTGGAAATTTGACTTTTTTATTACAGAATATTGAAGAACATGTAATTCTATGTACTTTATCTTAATAAAATTTTGTTCTAAAATTAAGTGTTTTGTTAATAATCACCCTAATAAAGTCATGCAATGTTGCTATTCAAATTATATTATTTTTTTTATTAAAATTGTAAATAGGGCCTAAACGGTAAATGTTAGCAAAAAAAGTTACTAAAGTAATCGATGTAAAATTAAATTATCAATCATAATCCGAAAACAGAATTTAAAAATTCGAACTTTTAATTTCGAACATAAAAAAGAGAAATCTTTTGCCTTTTTTATAACAAAATCTTTTCGTTAAATTTTTTATGCACTTTTTGTCGTTTTTCAAAAAGAATGCCATCTTGTAGAGAATTCTTTAAGGATCAAGAATATGTAGTCCTTTTTTTCGTAGCCCTTTTAGTTCTCGAGATATTCGCAATTTAATCTCGACGGTTTCACGGGAAAAATTTAAGAAAAAAATTCGACCCTGTTGTTCGACCGAAAAAATTTTTAACAATAAAGTTCGACTCTGTTGTTCGACCGAAATTTTTTTAGGAAAATAAGTTAGACCCTGTTCTTCGCCCGAAAAATTTTAACTAAAAGTTGGACCCTGTTGTTCGACCGAAATTTTTTTTAAGAATATTAGTTCGACCCTGTCCTTCGACCGAAAAATTTTTAACAAAAAAGTTCGACCCTGCTGTTCGACCAAAACATTTTTAGGAAAATAAATTCGACTCTGTTCTTCGACCAAAAAAGTTTTAATAAAAAAGTTCGACCCTGTTATTCAGCCAAAAAATGAAATGTATTGGTCAAAAATAGCAATATTTAAAGGGCATTTTAAGACATTTTCGCAGGGTTTACAGGGTTAAAAAGGTATGCATAATGTAGAGGGTTTCTTAAACGTTAACATGACGTCGAAAAACTTTAAGATAATCGTTTAGTTCAGGAGATACAGGGCGTTTTCCACGGCATGTTTTCAAATTTTCATAAAATTGCCAACTTTTGAAGGGCATTTTAGGGAGCTTCTAATAGGTTTAGAGGATTGAAATAAAGTACATCATAAAGAGCGTCTCTTGAACTAAAAAATGGCGTCAAAAAACTTGGAAAAGGTATACTAGTTTAGGAGATACAGGGTGTTTTCCACACCATGTTTTTAAATTTTCATAAAATTGCCAACTTTTGAAGGGCATTTTAGGGCATTTCTAAAAGGTTTAGAGGGCTGAAATAAAATGTATCGAAGAGAGAATCTATTGAACTTTAATATGACGCTGAAAAACTTCGGGAAAGTCAATTAGTTCAGGAGATACAGGGTATTTTGTACACAATGTTTTCAAATTTTTATAAAATTGCCAACTTTTGATGGGCATTTTAGGGCACTTCCAAAGGGTTTAGAGGGCTGAAATAATATGCATCGTAGAAAGGGTCTCTTTGACTATAGTATGGCGCTGAGAAACTTGGAGAAAAGTTATTATTTCAGGAGATACAGGGTGTTTTCCACACCATGTTTTCAAATTTATTTTATAGATGGAAGGTTTTGAAGGACATTTTAGGGCACATCCAACGAATTTAGAGGATTGGAAGGGTATGCATTGTATAAAGAGTCTTTCAAACCACAATATAACCGAAAGAAGCTGTAAATAAACCTGAAAATAAACTGTCGGGACATGAAGATTCGGAATGAATATAAAAACGCCATAAATTTCTTATTTTTTATATCAATTTCATTTAAAATACTGTACACATACAGATAAAAGATCGAGAAGTATAGAATAATTCTTCAATCGCTTCTTGTATTAATTTCTTTCGTAATAATATAATAATCGTATTTTGTTTTCGTCCAATTCATCTACATTTTTATGTAATTACATGATATGGCAACCGGTGATATGGTAGCTCAACATCGTAACGAATCATCGAATCGTTTTAAAAATCGTCCCTCATTATCATTTAAGCCGCCACGAAAATTGTTGGTTTGTTTGCGTGTGTGTGTGTGTGTGTTTTACGAATTTTACAAAAATCGGTATTTACACAAAAGATCTAGCATGTAGTCGTTGATTCGGTGCTGCTGCTATATAGTAGTTGATGCGCTCTTTAATTAACCTAGGACATAATCAATTGCTTACATAATCGATAAACGTAAATCTGTAATCGAACTTAGATACTAACGCTAAGTCTGTAATAATAATAAAATGGCCGATTTTTTAAAAATACACATCGTATAAAAGTACTTTTTTCTCGTTCGCTCGCTTACAAACTAAATTATGCACTGCCGAAAAATATAATTAAACATTAATCCGACTACAATTAGAGATCAAAAATAATAAATCGATATCTTATTAATTCATTGTGTAAACGAACTGAATATGTAGAAAATAAAATTAAATAAAAATCAAAGAAAAAAAGAAAACAAAAAAATCATTGCCACAAAACGTTACGAGATTGATCGCAATAAAATCATATGTTATACATATCGATAAAATCTGAGTACCAATCAATAATCAAAACTTCAATCTCAGTTTATCTATCATCTTCACGTTGATTAACATCTCAATTTCGATTAGACCACGGAAGATTGCACCAAATTTGCGTGTAAAAAATACTATTGCAACGAAACTCTCAGTACGATATATTATTCTGCGCTGAATCTAAAATTAATAGCAAAAGTCTAATACGATTATCATCATGTAATCATCTTCTCCTCCGCATCATCATCATCATCTAGAATTGCTGCTAGTCGCTTACATTATCCGCTAAAAAAGGTACTCGCGTAACATTTATCAAATAAACTTTAGCAAAAAATTATTTAAAGTACACTTTCGCTGCTCGGCAAAATTAAAACCAAGATTTGATGAACACAAAGCCAGGAATCGCATTAAACAATTAATTAAACCGCCAATACTGTTCGCTCCAAAAGTGTTGATATACGTCTTGGTCATGTTCTCATTTTTCAGTTGCGCATTCGCTTCAATCATCATTTCATTAATTATAATCGTAATATATCTATTTTATATAATTTATATATAAATCTATGTATATAAAATCATCACATAAATATGTATTAATAGCGAAATGTTTAATTTTGTTGTAATTTTTGTCAGTATCCTTGTTTTTCTCTTTCTGTATCGTATCTTTTTGTAGCGTGTGTGTTTTGATATTTGCGCTTATTCCGGCGGCAACATTACAATTTACACCTTACAACCTGTGCTCCGTCGCTTGGTTTATTGTTTAATTGTTATTGATCGAATTATTGTCATCTGCAATCCGTTTCAGTATCATTGTCTTCTACTCCGGCGATTGCAATAAATTCTTAATAATACATTTAAATTTAGAAAAAGTTCTCTCTCTCCCCAACCGTGTAAATTCTGTTTATCTGCTACGTCTACATCCAGGACAATTTCAGCTGCAATTTCCCTCACAACCAATTTCATTGGTTCGGCCAAGTGTTTCCGTATTCGAGCTACCTCACATTCACATTCATCATCGTAATTTGTTTCTCTCGATACAAACAAAAAGTGTGTGTAAAAATTGCACAAAACTTGCTGATATTTGTAAGTACAGATATGTGTTCTCTCGTCGTAAAAAAATATCGGTTCCGGTTGTGTAAAATAAATAAAATTCACAATAAACTAATAAAAAGTACGATGCCGATTGTTGGCGACTGAGATTACCATTCATAATTTCACGCGTTTTTTTCTCTCTCTCTATATAAGATATCAATTCGTCTCCATGGATCATAGTTTTCCATATGGCGCACATCAGTAAACTAATTCATTAATACTATCATTCTTTTTATAATAAAGGTGTGTGTAATTAGGCACTGCGTGTCAGGCTGTCGAGCGACGGCGATTGGCATCCTGGATCGCCATCGTCTTGATTTCTTCTTTTTGTTAAAGTTTATCCTTATTTGTTATTTGATTCCTTACATCGTATCCATAAATAGAGTACATACATCGAACGGGCGGAGAGGTGCGTTAGTAGGACTTCGCCGTTGTACGTGTTTCGGGGGAGGTGGTGGGTGGAATTCGGCGCTTACACTACTAATCTTTCACTAGTCGATAGATGTGATGCTGGGCGCCGTGTTCGGATGTCGACACCTCAAACACGTACGCCGTGCAGAGCAACGTCTCCTGCGTGTCACGATTACTCACCACCTGCAGAAAACCAAACAAAAATTAATATTATTAAGTTTTATTTGATTTTAAGATTATATCTTACTTGTAATATCGTAAAGTTTTCCAGCACGCTGTTCATCATGTACTTTTCAGGCAGATGCTTCAACTTGTGGATGAAATTAATCATGTATTCACACATCGGTGACCGGTGAATGCGATAAACAAACCGTCCGTTTTCATATCGCGCGTATTCCGTCTCAACCTTCTCTACGACCTGCTTGCCGAACGAGCACACCTTTGTGCTACACGTTATTGTCATATTTTCATTACTTTCATACCTAAAACATTCGCCGACAAAAATGTTAATTCACAAGCATTTAAAATGCGCGTGTAAAACATGAAATTATTGAAAAACTTACGAGCTTGTAACACCGTAGAAAGCACCGGCCTCGTCCTGCACGTTCGTATTGAGATCCGCCCAGAATTTGACAAGGAAGAAGGCGTTCTGCGGGCCCTTGTCGTAGAGCTCCTTGAGACCGCCCTTCTTCTCCGGGAATTTGTCGTAGATTTGTCGCACATCAACGGCCTCCAGCAGTGGATCCGAATAGGTAATGGCGGGCCCGCCAATGTGAACAAAGAGATGCCTCTGGTACTGCAACACAAAAATAAACAATTAAAGAAAAGTAGAAGAAATAGTTGCAGGTATGTACTTCGTCTTTGCTGCCCACTGATTCCTCCCGATTGGTAGACTCCATAAAGGCGGAAAACTCGACCAACCGCAATTTGTGCGTGGCAATCGCGCGGCCTTCCCACGGCGGCGGGGCGGCGCTTGTAACGCGCCCACCTCCCCGCTGGATACCGCCGTTGCCGGTTTCCCACCAGGATAGGTACTTTGAGAGAAGGGTTTCACACTAAAATGTTCCCTTTTGATAATTTTACATTATTTACACAACATTTTTAAGAAACAGGATTAATACTTACTCTTGAGACGTGCCCGGCTGAAGTCCAGGTTGCCAAAATTGCTACAAATTAAATACGAATTAATTCATCCGATAAACAAACAAACACATAGAAACAGCTAAGCAGTGAGCAGCGATGGCGGCGATGGCGGCGGGCGGCAAACGGCAGCGACAGCAAACCCACTTACCGGCGGGGCGACAGGTGTGGGCGGATAGAGCTGCAGCTGCTTGCCGTGCATCGCCGCCGTCGCCGACACAATCTGCGCGCTGGACATCGTTGACATCGTATGCAGCGTCTTCTCTTTTACCGTATGATCCTGCTAGTCATCAACGTTATTCCCAAAAATTTCAAAAACAAAAATAAACCACCTACCACTTTTAGTTTGGCTTGAATCTCCCGTAATTTCCGGCGGGCAAGAACCTGTATGTGACTGCTGACTTGTTTCCGCGTGCGCGTCTTCCCCGTCCGCAGTTTGATGTACCTCGCGATGAGCTCGTTGCGTCCTGTGGAATGCGATTCGAATCAAAATTAAAATTGCACAGGTACACAACGCCGAAACAATTACAAAACAATATTTTACCAGTTTAATATAAATAAGAATCGGGAAGAATGCGAGAAGAAACAGTACGCTGCGAAAACCCGAGACTTTCCAGGAGGAAAGAGGGGGGTGAGAGTGAGCGGGATTTTCGAAGCATTTTCAACATTTCCACCCGCAGCAACAGTGCCCGGCAGCGGCAGCAAAGACACGTCTTTATTTATGCGCGGAGTTTGTTCGGCAAGCGCGTCCGACCGAGACAAACGAAGGAAGCGGCGGCGAAGGGGTTGATGTTAGCGATGCTCGCTTATTGTGGTAGTAAACTCGTCCGGGCGCGGAGAAGTTTCGAGTGCGAGCGATCAGGAGAGCGAGATGGTTGGGAAAGAGGGTCAGGGTGGAAACTGCGCGCTGCGAGGTTTGTAGCGAAAAGCCAAGCGAAGACAACCCCCAAATACAAAGTGTACACGAAAACCAAACAAAAAAGTAATAAAATAAAAACCAATACATATCAAAACCTATCAAAACCATAAAACAAATACGATTTAAAATCATAAAAAATATTTTTTTAAAGAAATAAATGTTAACACTTTGTATATCAGAGGATATTCCGCGCGCTTCCTGTTGGACGCCGACGCACGCATGTGAGAATGTGTGCGGGGGAGCGCGACCGAGGGTGGAAGCGCCCGGAAAGGGCACGAAACTATGTCAAGAATGTGCAATTAGTGAGCGAGCAAGTAAGCGCTGCTGCCGGCTTCGCATCGAAGGGTGGGCCAGGCCCAGAGAGAAGAAAATATAAAGAAGGACGGCTGCCGCCATCAGAGCTCTATCCTCGCCCGCTCCCATCTACATAAACCAGAACATCAGGGTTTGCGCAAAGTGGAACTTTTCAAAAACAAAAAGAAAAAACACAAAATAGAAACAAAATCTAAGTCAGACATTTAATGGCGAATAGTTCAAGTCGTTCGAATGGCGATAAATTAGTGACACAAATATGTTTTTACGATTATCAGCGCAGCATTGCGCTGCGAATGTGACTCAACACCGTTGTGTGTGTATGTGCGGCGAATTTTACTGCTACTCGTATTTGCGCGCATAAACAGCTAAACGGTTCGCAATTATAACTTCTGTCTTATCTGCTGCGGCTGTTTAGCCGCGCCGTCATACAAAGTGCGGCGTCATGCACACAACGCTTTAAATCATTCGCGTGCGCTGAATGATATGCGCCCAACACCCGGTAAATATGCCTTCATACGTTACGCATTTGCAAGTCTAATGATGTCAGAGAACTACCGATATAATTGCCCGATTCCCCTTGCACTTATGCGCTATTTTTATTTTTTTCTATATATTTTAAATGCGAAACGTCGACGACAAAGGGAAACCGAGCGTTTTGCAGGTTCATTGCGTTCGCTTACCTTCTGCTTCGCCTGCCTTTCTTTCGATTACTCACGCAATAAATGCATTACACGATTACAATAACCGGCATGACAATGTTTTCATTTTACTTTTATTTCGTATAGAAAAAACTACACTTTTCGCTGCCTGGAGAGTACCACCTGTAGAACTAGCAGAAACAATGTTTGAGTGTTTTCCCAACTCTCGGAGTTTTCCGGCGTGCGCGCGCGCGGTATGTAATTTTTCACCGCACAAAGGGCGAAATGAAACATAATCAAGCCGGCAACAAAGAGCCACTCGACGTTTTAGTTCATTTGGTTTTAGTGGCCGGTGAAAAACGACCGAAATGGAAATAAAACGCGGAACAATAGTTGCTTGGTCGTTTATAAACGACAATTCCAACACCAGAAACAGACAAAGACAGAGTCCAATAAAAACCAGTGGGTGGGTTTCCTTGGACATTCGTGACTATGCGCCGGCTGAGAAAAACCAAAAACGACGACGATAGCGCTCCTATTCCGAAGTGGACATCAAGGGTTGGTATGCGGACAATGGAATCGGAAGCTCAAGACGACGCAGATGCAGAAAACAACCACCGCCAACCGAAGGCACCAGCCTTTATACATCTATGAAACGGAATAAGTAATAAAAATCCAGCAAGAAGGAGAATTGAATGCGAAAAAGGAAAAATTGCCGATTCTACAAAACAGAAATAAAAACCAACACACGTGTGAGTGGAGACGGTGGACATGAACCACCCATGGCTATCCACCTCATCCCACTTTCCGGACTTCCGAGAAGACGCAGCGCGCACACTATTGACCCAAGTCACCACTCCACTCTCCACTCTCCACTCTCGAGTCTAGTGTCCGGGCACTAAGCAACTGGAGGTGGAAAAACCGGACCCGAACTGCAATTTCTGCATTTCACGAAATCTCTTTCCATTGCCATGTCTCGTCACGTCATGTCATGCAAAACAGAATGCAATTGTCTACAAGAATACGAGTCTCAGGACTCTCACAAGTTTCCCGGGACAAGAGGGTGTGTGCGAGGTGGCAGCGTGGAAAATCGAAAGCGATCGAGTGTTATAATATGATTCGCACACACATGACAACGTCCAGAATCACATTCTCCGAAAACAGCCTCCAAACATTCAATACTCACACATACATGGCGAAAAGAAAAAAAAATGGGGCGTGTCTTGAGTTTCGGTCAAGTGGAAAGCAATAAAGTTTCCCCGCGTGCGTGCTATATATTTCTTCTCGGGTACTTACCATACATTTTCCCTTCATCGGAGAGAATGATTTTCCGTCGGCCGCATGGCGGGTATATGGCCAACGCCTCCTGGAAGGACTGCTCGATGTCCGGACTCCAGACACCTTCGGCGTCGGCCGCCGCCATATCTTTTTCGTCCTGCGAATAACAAACGCACATGATGCACAAACATTCACTAAAACTCAATTAAAACATTTCCCGCATTTATATTAGAAAATGCGCTCAAAAACATGTCAATAAACATGAAAATAAATAAAACGGCCGGGATTTAGCGTAAACATCGTATTGTTCCAAATCGGCGATTAGTCCGATTTAATTAGTTTCAAGTCGATGACGTGCCGGACCCGATGACGTTTGCGGTCGCGTCAATTCAATCCCACTATGATGCTGTGTGTTCCGAGTGTGATTACGTCCACAAAACTCAATAAAAATGTTATCAATGTTTTTAGATTTTAGTAAACATAAAATTAGTAAGACTAGAAAGAGTCATATTGAAATGTATGATGTTTATTTTTAACCAAATCGAATAATATATCATCAAACGCGCGTTTCATGCGCGCGGAAAATCACTTCTCTGGTTTATAAATAAAATAATCGCACTTACATCGCTCATGTCCCCGACATCGAGGTTTTTCGTGTCCGGACCCGGGCCATTCGCATCGGCCGCGGGTCCTGTGACCGCTGTCCACGGTGACGAAATCGTGCCTGCACTTAATAACGTACCACCTGAAACAATAAAAAAACAGAAAAATTTATACACATTGTATGTAATATTTATGTAATATTCTAGCCCTTGGTATTCGTACCAAGAACAATAAAACGCGGTAATGTTTTCATCCACTATTTAATATAGCGTGTTGTCGACCAATTTCGGCTCGAGCAAGTATTTATTATTGCGCGAATAAATAATATTATGACTTTTCAGTTTTTAGCTATTACTAGTTGCGCGCGATATCGTATCGAAAGTAATTTCGCCGGAATTCGGCATTTTCGCGAATGCTGTGTTTAGAGCGCGGGCGGAAAAAACACCGAGGGAAAAATGTGATTACAAAATACAAAAGCGTTCGCAAATAAAGTGCAACCTGAGCACCAGCGCACGAGTGAGCGTTTGGAGAGGGGTGGTGGCTTTTCACCTCGAATTTTCCGGCTCGTCCCGGCGCTTATTGTCTTTATAAATGCGCCGTGTTTGTTACGTATATTACGCTTCTACGAGTAGGTACGCTTTCAATTACATACAATATGTCCGCGCAGTAATAAAAAATAAACAAAATATTACCACAAAAAATTACAACATTTATTGAGTGTAAATATTATTTTTATTCATGCGAGTAAATATTTTTTTATTATGTGGACACAGTGTATGTTTGCGCTGCGGTAGCCGCCGCCGAGCAGCGGGCGCACGGGCTGTAAATTCACCTCGTAATGACGGGCGCCTGACGGTATGGAATGCGGCCCTTAATATCATACACATGCACACGTCGGCGGCGCGGCGGCGGCGGCAATATAAACGCGCGCGCTCGGCCGTTTCGGGTCGGCGCACACAACAATTCCGAGGGTGGGTTACGTACAACCACCACGCATCTGCGTTTATTCGATGTGTACTTACAAGCAAGGACAATGTTGAAATTTATTTTCAACTAGTGAATTTCCTCAACAACAACAACAGAAAAAAAACTACGCTTTGATTCACAAATCGATAGGTATTTAATTGCGAAATTAATTAAACGAAACATTTGACCAATCAGGCCGAAAATAACACATCAACACATCAATGACGTCCGGCGGGGGTGGGGTTGTTTTGGTATGCTCAAATAAAGTGCGCGAAACGAGGGCGCAGTGGTCGTTTAATTAATTCCGCACGGCCCTTTTAATTAAAATATCACCCCGTGTGTTCAACTACTACACAACTACCTCCAGAAAAAATCTCACAAAATTCGATAATAATTCCATCAGTTAAAATCGAAAATGTTTAAATTTTGTTATAATTTCCCGAGGCCTAAACTACCCTCTTCGGTAATGCGTGCGGTCGGGTGTGGAATTGTTACCACGCGCAGACAACAGGAGACAACAAAGAGACGGTCCGGTCGAGCGCGTTTAATAACTGGGGACCGTTAATAACCGCCGTCGGTATATCACCCCGCACGTCGAGCGCGCCGGCAATGGGACACGGACAATACAACCCCGGCCTCCACCGCCGCCTTCCACTTCCACACTCAATTGCGCAGTTTTCCACGCTACTATCCCGCATTTGCCCAAGATAGGAAAGTCGCAAGGCACAGGGGGATGCAGGAGGACAGCCCCATTGTCGTCATTATCAGTTTCGCACGTCGTGGATATTTATTGCCTAATTATAACGGGACCAAAGATTAATAGCGTAAATTATAAAAATTTTGGTTTGAAAAAAGTTAGGGGGAGTGAAATACCGGTATACCGGTTATTTTTAAATTCAAATGTCAATATTTTTCATTAAATATCATAAATAAAATAATTTATTTATAGCCTAAATTGAAAAATACCGGTATTAATACCGGTATACCGGTATTTTTCCAAAAACACAAAAAATTTTCAAAACAAAAATGAAAAACGAATAAATTTTCTTACAATTGAAGAAAAAAATTAATTTTTCGATATCGGTATACCGGTTATTTTAAATTCAAATGTAAATATTTTTAATTAAATATCATAAATAAATTGATTAATTTATAGCCTAAATATAAAAATACCGGTATTAATACCGGTTAACCGGTATTTTTTTCATACACCGATAATTTTCAATACAAAAGTCAAAAACTTAAAAATTTATTTTCATTCGATTGAAGAAAAAAATAATTTTTCGATATCGGTATACCGGTATTGAAATAAAAACTCCCAACATCTCTATTTCCGATTTGTAAAAGTACTTGTCCCGGTTGTTCTACAAGTGTAGAATGGAAGCATACAAGAGTTTTTTGTGCTCTTTGCGCTCGCGCGCTCGCAGCAGCGTTGAAAGCTTTATTATTTTATTGTTGACGTTATTGTGCGGTAAAGTTGATGGTCATCGGTTGGCGAGGCGACGTTGCCGTAGCGCCTAGGTTGAGATCAAAGGCGAGTGCCTAGAAAACCTTACCAACGAGAAGAACTAGTCTCCGGAGACTGGCAGCGAGAGAAATGAAAGGGTACCCTGGGTGCCCCACCATATCAACATGTGTGCACATGTGCACAATCTATACTTACACCTAATGTTGCAAAAAATAATAAAATCAACAAAATTTTGAAGAAATTTTGATCTAATTTTTAAAAATTTATGCGATTTTGATGATTTTTTACCGTTTTTACCAGAGTACCTGGTCTAGCACGAAGAAAAGAGAAGGTGAGGTAACATTTGGTGAGTGTACCAACACTTGCAACGGGCTTGCAACCGCGCATGACGAGATGACTCATTCAAAAACTCGTTTTCTATGGGTCGGCAACGCGCGCGCACGCCTTACCTCTACCATACCATGATGTCTTACCATGTGTATTCTTGCGTGTGCATCCGAAAGGTAGGTAAAATGTTAGATACACGCTCGCACAACACTAATCACGCGTTAAACTTAATTTTAGAGTGAATAAACCAGTGACTCATTTGCAAGTCAAACAAAATCCAAACACACTCAAACACACTCAAGCAGATATATTAGCGAGTGTCATCGAAAAATGAACATGACTCACACAATTACACAAACGAATTCGCAATAATTAATAATCGAGTGGAGTGCGAATTTCGAGTTTTATCTATTTTCGCCGCGGTGATAACAGCTTAGTCACACAATCAAGTAGAGAAAAAAACACACTATTGTTACGATTATCATCAGCTCAATCATCTGATAATACCGGATATTGTTAATACAGTGAATGATAAACACTTTTTCGCGCCCGGGAAGAGTGAATTGAATATTTGTTGCGCGTAATAATTAACATGTTGCAAGTGCATGTGGCCGAGGTTTTAATTCAATTTGCGAATGCAAAGCGCGCCAACTCGATAGCGTATACGAGTATAATTTAACGAACTCGTTAGCGCTTCCTACACAACAACAAAACGTAACTCCAGGGAGATGAAAGCACACACAACATACAACACACAACATAGTTCGACAACTTTAACTACTTCAATATTATATTAGCAGTCAACTATTCCCACTTTCCGGTTTCTGACATTCATTATGTTATGCTGTACTCGTCGTATAGAAATTGTATGGAATTATTCACGAAATTAGTGCAAAAGCAGCTCGCAAACGATTTTTATTTAGATGGATAACTAAATCTCCATCATGTTAAAACCCAATTAGTGTATTCTGTAGTTGAAATTTCAATATAAATCTAAATCCATCTTCAAGGTTCCAAGCAGTTTTTCAACTACTACTGGTATAATAATAGCGCGAATTTTTCGTGGAATCAAAGCATCATTTAGACATCCATACAGACATCTACACAGATGCCAAAACCATAAAAACTGTGACGCAATCTATGTAACAAATGTTGCACAGTCAAACATTAGTTGGTAATGTTTTTTTAAACACCCTGTATGTTATGACTTCCTCGAAGAGTGAGTTGGTGTGTGTGTGTGCGCATCCGAAACGAGTTTGTGTTATGTGGAAATGAAAAAGAAAAAGAAAATGGAAAGTCCGGTGCGTTATGCTCGCCAGTAATCGATTAAGACTCTCATTACTGTTTAATTGTCGAATAATTCGCAATTACTACTTACTAGTGACAAGTTAGCAGGTTTTAAAATGTGTACTATGTATTTATACTCATATTACATTTATTTTTCATCATATTTTTTTGAATGGGTCTATGTTATATAACTTTTTTGTTGAATAACTTCTAAACTATTTTTAACACCCTGTAAGTTATTTTTTTTGCAATAAAAACTAACCTATGTTATTTTCCAATATTTAAACTATCTCTATCCCAAAATTTATAAAAATTGTTCCAATGGTTTTTGCTCCAAAGCGTCACAAACATACAAAATACATTTCACTCGAATTTATATCACATTGAGATTGAATACAATGAAATTAAAAAAAGGGCTGGACACGAAAATGAAAACAAAACCAGGCACAAATTCATTGTTCTCGCACGTGCATACAACGTGGGCTTTTAGTCCACGTTTCTGCCCACGAAACGCATGAATTTATGATTATCATTATCATATCGTGCTTAAAAGCTACTCCAACATACAAATCTTTCTTTTTCAGTTGCTTTTTTTTCCCTTTGCTTTCAAGGGTAGTAATGGTATAGTAAACCAACATCACAATTCATAGTCACGTACTAGGGCAGGACACGATGTTACAAAATACTACTTCATACAATATGTCACGAACTGGACATAAACACACCAAATGATTTAATACGGGGAAAAAATCGGTGAATTATGAGTTTAATACCGGTATTTTAAGGGTGACAGTAATTTTTTAATCAAAATACCGGAATACCGGTTTTGAACATCGTATAGAAAAATATATATGCTCAAAAATAAAAAATACCGGTATACCGGTTTTCATCCCGATATTTCGGTATACCGGTATTTTTTTAAAATCAAAATATCCCTATACCGGTTTTTAATATAATATTCAAAATAATATAATTTGAAAATAAAAAAATACCGGTATTTCTCACCCCTCTAAATGATTTTACTTCGTTGCTCGTTCTTTGCTTTTCAAGCCTGATTGAGTGTTTGTGAATTAGAATGGAAATGCGTCGAGGGA